TCCTGGAGAATCCCACAGAGTGACCTGTACATATTCAGGGTTTGGTGGCAATTATAACAACACTTGGGTCAGACAGGCTGCTGGAAAGGGACTTGAATGGATTGCTTATATCATTGGTAGTGGTAACAGCAAATCCTACTCTCAGTCAGTTCAAGGCCGGTTTACCATCTCCAGAGACAACAGCAGACAGCAGGTGTATCTGCAGATGAACAGTCTGAAGACTGAAGATTCTGCTGTTTATTATTGTGCTCGATACTCTCAGTGACTGGAGTTTGTTAAGCAGCTGTACAAAAACCTACAGTACTCATATTTCACATTGTTAGACCTCAAGCATGAAGTCTTTTTCTTTGTATTCATATTACATACTTATTTATACATTTAATAGTTATTGTTTTAAATTCTATATAATAATTATTTAACATTAAACAAAGTAAAGATCACTGATGATGTGGAATCTAAAGTGAGTCATAAAATGAGAATGAAAATTTTTCCTTCTTCTTTTCACTAGAGGGCAGTCAGTGTCATGTTTCTCTCTCCTCTGTTTCTAAAAGGAGACACTCAGATCTGGTGTTCTCATTGATCTTAACTGACTGACACTTGAACCCTGGACTGAACTAAAGCTTAACACTCCTGCTGCTCATGTACACTGGATACTGTGATAGTTGATACTTTTCTACTCTAAACAAAGAGTAACTGAGATCCAAGTCAAATCTTGTAATGTGCCAGTTTGTTGCATGTGATGGTTTTCTTTGCTGTATGAACCTTCAGTATTATAACTAATTTCTACTACCACTGCATTTGAAAGTAAACATAAATGTTAACAGTACTCGAAAAAGTCAACACTTTGTTAGTAAATCCTGAATGGGTATCATCAAGCCCCTAATCTGAGCCCGTATGTCCCCACCTCTTTAACAGAAAGTGAAGTTACATGTTTAAATGTGGTAAGAACGGTTCATTAGTGACTACCTTAATCACAATCACAGTTTAACATATACAGTTGTTAGTTCAATTATTTGTTAACATTTTTCAAAAGATGCATAAGAGACAGGGACCAAGAGAGGAAGGCCACAAAAATGGCTTGTATATAGCGCTAGGTAAACAGCTGGGTTCAGGATCCACTGCATGAGACTTCATTTGCAGCCACTTGTGTTTAACAAAGGGTGACACAGTGGTGCAGTGGTTAGCACTGTCTCCTCGCAACAAGAAGGCTGTGGATTCAAACCCTGGTTGCCCCGGCCTTTCTGTTGGAGGCTCGTGGAAAAGGACTCGAGTGGGTCGCATATATCAGCAGTGGCAGCATCTACTACTCTCAATCAGTCCAAGGCTGGTTTGCTATCTCTAAATAAACTTTATTTGTTGTTGTTAATTAAATCAGGAAATCTTGCCCTGGGAAAGATCATCGCCAACAAACAACAATAAATACATTAATAAAAATGTCTTAATCACTTCATCACAAAACAGCCAATGACAGCAATTCAATCTGTTGGAATCATTGTTCTGGTTTGAATAAGATAAATACTACATGTACACATTTTAGCCAAATTCTTATATATTCTTATATAAGTTATTCGGCATTAAAAGACAGTAACAATAATAATATTGCAGTTCCTATTTACAAACACTAGAGGGGAGCCAGGGTCAAGTTTGTCTCTCCTCTGTCCCCATAAGATCTCTGCTGATCTCTTTGATCTTAACTGGCATTCAAAGCCTGGACTGAATTTGACTTTTATACTCATCACAACACTAATAGAACATTTTAAATGCTGGAGCAGCAGTGACTGCAGCTTCATGTGTTCATGTAGTTGTAGTTCACCATTTCATATAGATTTCAAGATAAACAGGTCGAAGACTGAAGGAGCTGCTGTTTCTTCTTGTGCTTGTGAGACATTGGAATGAAAACTCAATAAATAAGTGATTCTGAAAAAAGACAAGTCTCATTTCCTGGGCTCTTTGAGAAAAGTCTGTGTCAGACTATACAGGTGCATCTCCAAAAAATTTTAAAGAAAAATATACAAACCAGGAAGTATGGGCATTCATCAAAACTTTGCAATAAGGTTTCAAATCAAAATTAAATTCTAAAAATATTAATGTTCTTTAAATAAAAATCACTCTCACTGGTCTGGTCAGTTGAGAATACACACTGTTTAAACCCTCAACTGATTTAAATAATAATTTAATATTATTTATTTTATTTATTTTTATTTTTCAACAGTGTGTAAAAAATGTTGCTCATAAGGACGTTAAAATGAATCATCATAGAAGACAGTAGCTGAACAATAAACAACATACTTCAATGGTTTGAATTATCTAAAATTTAATTGTGATACAAAACATCACTTTCATATACGTGACAAATTGAGATTTCAGCTCTTAAGTAGTTAATTTGCTTTCTAAATACTTTAACCTTTTTTAGTAAAAAATTCCAACCAGCCGCATCAAACTCAAGTATTTATTTAGATGATCTTGCTTTCACAACACTGCTGTGTTTGCAGCAGCAAAATAAAATAAATACAAACATCTAAATGAATAAATCAATTAACATTTCAATTAAAACCAGATCAAGTAATATAATGCCTATTAGGTAGACCACATTACTTCATTATTATGATTCAATTATTTTTGTAAGTCATAACATAAGAGTAAATGTTTTCTGATTTGATATTGTGTCAAACATGGATCAGTTACAGCTACATTAAAGCCATGAATTCAAATTAAACGATTCAATAAAATTAAACTCTAACAGAGTGCCTGTGCATGAGCCCCTCCCTCCCCGTGATATCCTGATGCAAATCTTCAGTCTGTGCAGTGTACTTCTGTCCTGCTGACTGCTCTTGTACTTTGTGTGGAGCATCAGAGGTCACATCTCCAGCCTCAGGATGATCAACACACTCACTCTTCTGCTGGTTGCTCTCTCTCTGCCCTGTGAGTTCTCCTGCTTCCTGCTGTTTTATCTTTTATCAGACAACATCGACTGATGGTCAGTCAGTGATCCCAGAACATCCCAGGTGACTGTCTCACTTTCTTCTCTGGTTCCTCTCTCCTTTCATCTCATCAGGTTGTACAGGTCAGAGTTTGGAGTCCATTCCTTCCAGTTCAGTAGTGAAAAAGCCTGGGGAGACTCTCAGTCTCTCCTGCAAAGGAGCTGGCTACACATTTAGCTGCTGTGGCGTGAGCTGGATAAAACAACCTGCAGGAAAACCACTGGAATGGATAGGGGTTGCCTGGGTTTCTTCCGGTAACACTTATGCCAGCAGTGTGCAAGGACGAATAGAATTCACAAGAGATAATAGCAACAGCATGGTGAATCTGAGACTGTCCAACTTAAAGCCAGAGGACTCTGCTGTGTATTACTGCGCTAGTCACACACTGGTTAAAAGAAGCAGAGAGGCTTTACAAAAACTCCTCAGAACATTTGTTTACAAAGACCTACAGGTGGCAGTAGAAGATATGAAGTCAGATGACACTAAGGAGTGTATGACAGTGACTCAACAAACACACATGCGCACTATGAAAGCAACAGCTGATGTGGTTTCTTACTTCCTCATTAGCTTTTTAATTTTTCTAATATTTGCATTCTTGATAATTATTTTAATTATATTGACCAGGGAGGTTTGTAAAACAGGTCAGATGTAAAACATTCAATTTCTCCACATCAGGAACAAGTTATTAATCATCTGATTCACTCTGCACATGCTCAGTTTAGTCCTAGTTCCACATGCGAAAAGTAGCACCCAGTGGTAGGCACAGCCTTGGCTTAATTTACTTTTGTAATGGCATTGTCAGTTTTGTAGTTAAACTCAACATTAAACATAAATCACATTTATTGTGTTTCTATGTAGATATCTTGCATGCAAGTTGTTAGTGCTAATGTTTTAAGCTGTAAGGTAAGCTAGTTCATGGTTACAAAAGTGTGGGTTATTTCTAACAACAATAGTCTCAGTTAATTCTATTAATGTTTTCTTTGAATTTCACCATACATCTGACACACACACACACACAGATTTTCACATAAAAGCATTATGATGTCACTACTTTGACTTAGAGACTTGAATCACAATCATTGTGTAAAAAAAAAAAAGTAAAAGAACAGTTGTCAGTAGTTATGCCAAAACCCAGATGCAGACATGGACACAATGCAGCAGTTAAACAGTTTATTGACTGACGCAGGGTGAGGTGGCAGGGAGTCTCATTCCAAGCAGTTGGAACTTGAGGGCTGGATGGCTGGGTGGCTGGAAGGATTGGATCTTGGCTTCGATAGACTTGGTGATCTGGAGACAGGCAGAGAGAAACTAGTTAAAGCAAACTCGCTACTGGATTAACGCTATATGCTAAGGCAAGACCTACAGTACACGACTTAACAATCCAGCAGGGAATGGAATTCTGGTCTCTCCTTAAGAAGAGGTAGGGATGGCAGATCAGGAACAGGTGCGTGATTACCAACAGGTGCAGCTAGTGCCAACTCAGGAAGCCAGACATGCCCAGGATTTAAAAAACTGAGAGAAGGGAGCGAAGAAAAAAAGAACATAAACAAACCAAGCATGCCTCACTCACCCAAAGGAAAAAAAACAAATGAAAACACACTCACTAAGTGCCAAACTCAGGTGCCAGATGCAGGAGTCATGACAAAAGTGTTGAATAAAAAGCTTTCATTATCATGTTTTTTCATTGTACTTATATAATGTTACAATTTACCCCAGAGTACATCTAACCCAGACTAAGGGGTAAACTGTAACATGTGATGGAGACTAAACCGTGCATTTTCTGTCTGTGTTGCAGCTACAGCTACACCATTTAATAGCAGACATGTGTAGCTAGTTTATATCACATTTTGAATGCACTGGCTTAAAAGAGCTCCAACAGACAGAAATGTTGAAACAGTAACTGAGATCCAAGTGAAATTCTTCTCCTCCCTATGAGGAGGAGTCAATGCAAAACTCAGATTTCTTCCACCTCTACTTATCTGACTGCAGAGAGGATGACAGAGAACAGTGGACACACAGTTTAACATGATGGACTATAGGACAGGACTGCTGCTTTTAACTGTCTGCTGGGCAGGTGAAGATCTTCACAGGTCTTGAGTTAAATCTGTCTTCTTCAATGTGCCATCTTACAGCAAGTGAATATGTTCTATTCTTTTGACAGGTGTTGATGGTCAGACTCTGACAGAATCTGAACCAGCGGTTAAAAGGCCTGGAGAATCCCACAGATTGACCTGTACAACCTCTGGAATATCATTCAGCAGCTACTGGATGGCCTGGATCAGACAGGCTCCTGGAAAAGGACTGGAGTGGATTTCCAGCATTGAATATGATAGTGACAGGAAGTTTTACTCTCAGTCAGTCCAAGGGAGGTTTACGGCCTCCAGAGACAACAGCAAAGAGCAGCTGTATCTGCAGATGAACAGTCTGAAGACTGAAGATTCTGCTGTTTATTATTGTGCTCGACACTCACAGTGACTGGAGTTGGTTGAGCAGCTGTACAAAATCCTACAGTACTCATCTTTCCTGTGCTGATAGATCCTGAGAAAGACTTCTGTTTTTATTTGAACTTCTGTTGTTTTTAATTAAATCATGAAAATTGGCCCTGAGAAAGATCATAATTAATCAACAACAACAAACACATAATTAAAAATATCTTACTGTAAAGACCACTTCTTCATAAAACAGCCAATGACAGCAAAACAATCTGCTGAAATCATTGTCAAGGTGTAAATAAAAGACACACTACATGTTCACATTTCAGCCATTGGCAGACATCTAGCTGATCACATTATGGAAGTGAAAATGTTGCAGTTCCCTATAAAAACACTAGCAGGCAGTCAGTGTCAAGTTTCTTTCTCCTCTGTCAATATAAGGAGAATCTCATATCTGCTGATCTGCTGAAAAAGCTCTGTAGCAAACAGTATTCAACTTTTCTAAAGAATCTTACTTTATGAGATTTAAGACATATTTTCAGAGTAAATCAAATCATGGCAGGTTACAAGTTTTCTAATGAACGATCTAGATGGTGAGATCTAAGACCATTTTAGCACCTTCATAAAAATGTTCTTTAAATAAATAATAATTTCTCTAGTTTGGCCAATCGAGGAGACACACTGTTTACACCTTTAACTGATTTAAATCAAATGTAAAATATTATTCAACATGCAAATAAAAGTTACTCATAAGGAAGTGAAGTGTGTGTGTGTGTCAGTGAGAGGACAGAAGAGCTCACATCAGTTCAGCTTCAACATCAACATGTTCTCTGCAGCTCTGATACTGCTGCTGGCAGCTGGATCCTGTGAGGAGCTTTCAGTGGATTCACACTAATAAACACATTAGAAACACTGAATAGTCAGATGAATGATGGAGATAATGCTGATTTCTGTTTCCACAGGTGTGAACAGTATTGATCTCATCCAGCCAGACACGATGGTTGTGCAGCCTGGACAGTCTTTGACCATCACCTGTCAGGTCTCTGGTTATTCTTTGACTGATAACAGCTATGCAACAGGTTGGATCAGACAGTGTGAAGGAAAACCAATGGACTGGATTTTTCATCGATTTGGAGGAGGAGACCTTCACCAAAATAATGCTCTGAAGAACAAGTTCCTTTGCTACACACAAACTTCATCGGTGAAATTAGCAGGACAGAATTTGCAGCCTGAGGACACAGCTGTGTATTATTGTGTACGTGGCTCCACAGTGACACAAACCACCAACAGACCTGCACAAATACTCCCTGTGATTAAACCAGACATTTTAGAGAGATCATTGAGACTTCAACTTAACAGTCTACAGACAGCCCTCATTTGTATTTTTGGATTTTATGATAAAACTATACAAAAGAATAATGGGCTCCCTTCTCTGGATGTGAAATTGTTTTACATGAAAGGAAAAGGAAGTTTTTTTAAACAAACTAATGATAAATGCTACAATTCAATGAAACTAGAACAAACCACCTGAGAGCCCCTCCCTCCACATGATGTCCTGATGCAAATCTTTTCTGGGCAGTGCACTTCTGTCCTGCTCTTGTACCTTGTGAGGAGCATCAGAGGTCACATCTTTAACCTCATTATGATAAACACAATCACTATTTATGTAATTAACTAATATTAATTACATACTGATATTAAGAGCAGTATGACAGAGCACCTAAACACACAGACACACAAATAGACATTATTGTAGCAAAAGCTTATGTTGGACTATGGTTTTTACTGAAGAACTGTTCTTCAACAGCAAAGTGATGGTTGATAATGTTTCTATTAATGTGCAGCAGCTGTGACTTTATTATTTCAAAACTGACACACACGATATGTCCATCATAGCAATCTTCAATAAAACACGCCTCTGATCTGAGTGCCTGGTTGATCTAAACATGGATTAAATAAAAGTTAGCAGAATAAGTTAAAAAAAACATTTTCAAATTAATAAAAACAAGTGTTTTGCTCTTTGAGTAGGAGGCGATGCAAAACTCTGATCTCTTCCACCTCTATGTATGTGTTGCAGAGTGAAGGACAGGCTAAATCACTGCAGGCTGGACAAAGACAACTGGCTTTTACAATGATCAGACCTGAATATATTTAGTTTTTCTCATCCTGTTTATTAACTGGGCAGGTAAGAACAAGGAAGCTCTTTACATGGGGTTGTGATGGCGCATAGATAAGATGCTTGCCTTTGGTGTGGGAGACATCCACCATTGTGTCCCTGAACAAGAGACTTAACCCCTAGTTGCTCCAGAGGCGTGCGACCTCAATTGTAAGTCGCTTTGGATAAAAGCGTCAGCTAAATGAATAAATGTAAATGTACTGCTTATATGAAACAATCCATATCCTCTTAAGGCTTCAAGTTTGTATGTCTGTGGCTTCCAACAGCCACAATTCAAATTCTGAAAACTTTAAAAGTCTAAAAACAATACAGGCCTTCAAACACCTGCAGCAAACTCAAGTATTGATTCAGATTATCTTGTCTGTCAAGATTCTCAGTTATCCAGGTCATAGTTATCCAAGGAAGGTTAAAAATCAAGGCAATTGCCCATTTTTCCTCTCATCTAGAACTGAACTGGCAGGGAGTCCCAGCTATTTAAGTTTTTTGGTGTTGTTGATTGGTATACCGATGCCATAAATAAGCTATTCAAATAGACATTTTGGGTATGGTCTCCATAAGGGTAATGATTGAAATCATGTGATACAAAAAAAATTACATTTTGGTAACATTTACACAAAAAGAGCTTCCACATGATTTGAAAATTGTTCTTTGTCACGTCGCTCATTTACACGACTAACTGCCAGCACCTTAATAGCATGTATTGCTGCCAGAAGTTACAGAAAAGTCTAATTACGAAGTCCAGTTATTGAGACATCTTGAGTCCACTTATGTCCACTGTGACAAAGTGGCAATGATTTAAACAGATTGATGCCCGCTAGCAGGAATGAGCTCCTCTGGTTTGATTTAGAAATAAATGGTCATGATACAAATCAGAGTCTTGCTTGACTACATGTGCTACAGCTGTTCATCCTTCTCTTATAGCCTGTCAGTGTCCTTCTCTATGCAAAGTGAACTTCTTCACAGTCTGCTATAAAGACTTGATATCATGCTGTCAGTTGCAGCAGAAGAAGAGAAGCTCCCATCAGATCACCTTCAATACCAACCATGTTCTCTGTAGCTCTGCTGCTGCTGCTGCTGCTGGATCCTGTGAGTCTCACTGAGGCAGAGACACTGACAGTATGATCACAGCACACTGACTGTTCACTGTTATTACACTGATTCAACATTCAACATGTTTTCCTCCACAGGTGTGAAGTGTGAACAGTTGACACAGCCAGCCTCTGTGACTGTGCAGCCAGGTCAACGTCTGACCATCACCTGTCAGGTCTCTTATTCTGTTAGCAGCTACTGGACAGCTTGGATCAGACAGCCTGCAGGGAAAGGACTGGAGTGGATTGGAAGCGGATGTGTTGGATACACTTCAAGCTACAAAGATTCACTAAAGAACAAGTTCAGTATCGACTTAGACTCTTCCAGCAACACAGTGACTCTAAACGGACAGAAAGAAAATATTTATTAGTTTTTATCCATCACAGACTGTAGTTTAATTAAAACCATTTCTGAGAGATAAGAGCTGCTCTATAAAGTGGAGGAGAAGTGGAGCAGGTTTTTATTTCTGACACAGCCACACAGAGATAAAGGTAAAATGTGGTGATCATTATAAAAACTAATATATGCATGCATTAACTACCACAGTTTTCATCTAAGCTAAAGAATGAGCAGCTGTTTTCCTCTGGAGGCTTTTTCTTTGGATGTCAGCGTCTTCAAACATCTGCAGACACTGAAACCATTAAAAGTCTGTTATGTAAAACCTGCAAACCAGCAGCATCAGACTTACGTTTTCATACTATTTACATGATCCTGGCTGCTGTCACTTTATTTCTGTTTACACCAAGTACAGTAAATGAGCAAAAAAGTGAATAAATAAATGCTGCAAAAAAAATGCTGTGCTCCTATGCTTGGAGTTAATCATGAATGTGATGTAGGAGGTGCTGACAGGAAATAAATTCTCACAATAAGACAGCTCACATCTTATTTAAGTGAATTTTAATCATTTGAAAACATACTGAACACACTGTAAACATGGCTTATAGAAAGCAACGTTCTTGGTGGTTACTCCTTGTTTGCGGATTTTAATGAATGTGTTCATATTTAGAATTATAATTAATTAATAATGATCCTTGTTGTTGTTGCAATTATGTAATAATGTAAATAATGTTTAATGTTAAAATATATGTAAAACAGAGGTGATTTCCAGGCATGTTTTCACTCTGCAGATATAATAACAGTCAACAGACTCTTCTATTGGCTCCAGTTAGACCAACATTGATGCTTCATGTGTTTGATTCTATGCAAACTCAGTGACCTTCCTTGTTACTCAGCTATAAAAACTTCCCATCAGGCTGTCAGTGGAGTTCACAGCACGTCACTTTCAACATAAAACATGTTTTCTGTAGCTCTGCTGCTGCTGTTGGCAGCTGGATGCGAGTCTCTCTGGATTTGTCAAAGTCAGCAGTTCTTCTTTTGCAGTATAACTTGATCATTTGTTACTAAACATTTTCTTTTTTTTAACAGGTATGAAGTGTGAACAGTTGACACAGCCAGCCTCTGTGACTGTGCAGCCAGGTCAACGTCTGACCATCACCTGTCAGGTCTCTTATTCTCTTAGCAGCTACTACACAGCTTGGATCAGACAGCCTGCAGGGAAAGGACTGGAGTGGATTGGAATGAAATTTACTGGAGCTTCATACTACAAAGATTCACTAAAGAACAAGTTCAGTATCGACTTAGACTCTTCCAGCAACACAGTGACTCTAAACGGACAGAATGTGCAGCCTGAAGACACTGCTGTGTATTACTGTGCCAGAGAGCCACAGTGAGAGACAATAACAGGAGAGTCATACACAAACTACTTCCTCTATTTACCACTTCTGGCAACATTCATTTGTCTGAGTATTACTGTCTTTACATAGTGAGTGACTGAATATTGAGGTCCTATTTTTATTGAAACTGAACATACCAGTTCTTGCATGCCCTAGTGAAAAAAAAATATGCTAAGTGTATTAAAGAGGTGGCATTATGCTTTTTGACTTTATCCCTCTCCTTTGAGTTATATATACCGTTTTTGTGCATATAATAGGTTTGCAAAATGAAAAAGGAAGTTCCCATCTGCCAAAGAAAACACTGCTCTACACTGAGCTGTAGTACACACCTCTCCCTTCCAAACACTAGCAACTCTCCAGGCAGTCAGTACACATAAGGTTGTTACTGTAATATAGAGACAAAGCTATGGAGGGATTATTGGGTCAGATTTAAAATTAAAAGTCTAAAACTAAAAGTCAAAAATGAATTTGGTATTTAGGATTGAGCATTTGGTATTTTAGGATAGGGGATTTGGGGATTTAGGGTTGGTGTTTTGTGGATTTGGGGATTGTGTTGTGTATGTAAATTAGGAGGCATGGCCCAAAGGCTGCAGGGAGGGATTGGAATGGCTGAGGCGTAGGGGCACTTTATGGACTGCAGGGGGAGCTCTAGTGCCAGCACACTGCCATGAAAGCAAGCAGAGGGAGTGAGCAGGGCTCTTGGGGGTTACCATCATTTATAATACCTTTACTAAAAGCGTACAGCATTTCTATCCATGTGGCCTCACACAAGTCAACAGTGAAAGGAGAGCTATCCGTCTGACGAGAAAGCAGCGGACAGTGAAGCATGTAAGATATGATAACATTACCAAGTTAGCTATATTAGGCAAACTGTTGCTGACATGCAGGTTTTAAATGCGGCTATTAAACCCGCTGAGGGCTGTGTGTATAAACTGTAAAGATAAGGTGTAGAAGCTGTGTTTCTGGGTAACAGCACCATGCTGGGCAGGTGACAGGTGTGTGTTTACAGTGTTTGTCTGCTCTGAAAAACGTAACAGCGCAGCTATAAAGTCTTAGCCGGCACACTTAGCATGGTATTATTACTATAAACACCTATGGATATAACGTTTAGGCCTGACAGACATCCGCTTCTCAGAAACAGAGGACACTACCTGCATCACTGCCAATGTTATTTGACCAGGGAGTGAATGGTGATTAATGAAATTGTCAGTGTTTTCTTAGTGTCTCCTTTTGTTCTTTCACTTCACTGTGTTTCAAGTGTTCCCGTCTGTCCATGTGTTTGTTATTGCCCCATGCTCAGCTGCATCCACACACCTGCACTGGGTTGCACTAGCTCTGTATTTTGTGAGGTTAATAGGTTCATAACACAGGCACCCCATTACATATTGTTTAGGGTGTAGCAGTGTTTTTTTTGTTTGTTTTTTTCTTCATGTATTGTTCTGTGATACTTTTGCTTCTTCGTCTTCTTGGTATTGTTTAATTATGTATTGTGCTCCAGTGTCCTGTACACAAGTAGGGCAAAGCAAGTGTTAGGTCCCACTTTTACCACAAGAGAGAGTATACTGTTAGCGAGTTATGTTAGGAGCAGCCTCAACAAGGCAGTGCAGACCATGCTCATAACAATCTGTTTGTGTATGTTGCAGGAATGATGCAAGCAGACATAATATATGAAAGGAACATACCCATGTAAGTAGACGTAAATAGTCATGGTAGAGTGGTAAAGTAGGCCGTTCGGCTTGAGTTTTTTTGTTAGCTTTTTAAACCAAGCAGCTAAGCTAACTTAACTGTTGCCAGTGACATTAAAGTTGATGATACATGGGAGCAACTTTTTGAGCAATGTTGCTGGGCAGTCTTGCTGGAGGCAAGTGTGACTACTATCTGTTTATGTATGTTGCAGATTTTAGTAAAGATATTGAAAGCCACACTGGGTTTTTATTCAGATGTGCAACAATTACGTCTCTCCTAAGTTAGGGCATAAACTTGACACTAGAGGCTTAGTAACTGCTAGTTAGATTTTAACAAACAGTAACCAAAATTGGATGCACCATGATTAACGTTCGGTATGGACTAAATGGAGTTTCAAAGTCTTTGAACATCTACAGATAGTCTTCAAAATACATGTAAAATAGAGTCAGTTTGAACCTAGACTAATTTTCAACTGCAAATCACCACAATCTTTATCACTGGGTTGGACTGTGTCTTTAAATTCACAGGTCTTTGAGTAAACTGTCTTATCTGTTTGATTCATAATTTCATCTTCAGTTATTGCCACCTGCATTTTGTCCCCATCAGGTTACAGCTAAATAAATCCAATGCAACATACAGAATCATATCAGCACTTTATTAAACAATGAACATGCTTTAACTGAATCAAATGTAATAGTGTTGAATCATTAATCCTTCCTCCACTACAGTTTTTAAGATAAATGAAATGGTCTGTTTTGGCATGAATTCATATTTCTAGTGCCACTGGATTAAAATGGAGACTTTGCTCTTTATTTACCCATTGCCATGGCGAATTGTAGTTTTCTTTTCATTCCCCACTTACATGCTTATCTCAGTGAACACACTCAGGGTTCATTGAACTCGTTTTGATCAGCTGTTTAAGAACTGAAAAATCAGTGTCACATCTCAGGCTCAATCAACTCAGAGCTCCAGATTCATCATCTCTCCTTTGCTTCCCAGTGTTTTCTTTGTGACTAACCTTTTGTTTCTTGTACCTCAGGATCACCGCCTACTCCTCCGCTTCAGTTTGCCTTCTGCTGGACAGCCAGCCATGCGTCCTTATTCACTACTGTCTGATATTATTCACAAACTTCCTTCAGATGCCTTCAGATCTCCAACCCTACTCATCTCTCATTCATCTAATGTCCCCACACCATCACAATACTGTGGGCACAATGCATCATTTTTCACCTACTACCTCTATGATCCAAAAGAGGTGATAAAGCAGCTAAACTCCTCCACCTGCTTCCTTGACCCACAATTTTTTTTCAAAGAACCCCTTGGACCTATTTGTGATAAGCAACTACAGACCAATCTCCAATATCCCTTTTCCTAGTAAAATATTTAAAAAGGTTGTCTACAAACAACTGTATGTCTTGTCAGGTTTGGGGACCAGCAGTGAAGGGGAACTCCAGGAACTACTACCTGGAGTGACCAAACAAAGCAGTCGTCTCAAACAAATAGCTAAAGCTGATGTGCATAGTGCTAGGGAAAACAAGCTGCATAGAGACACCCCTACCTACCAAGATGTCTAAAACCAATCTAGCTAGTATTAAACGCTAAACTCAGTGCATCAACCCTTAATAAAATTGATATTGAACACTGTGCAGTTTTGCACAAAAACACAACTTAATTACATCGTGGTGAAAGAGTGGCGACCATATGGACCCTGGAATCTCTTGGCACCTTAAGATTCGATTTGATTACAGCTGTATAATTACTAAGCATTTAATTTGCACATTAAAAAGAAATGTCTCCTCAAATGCTTAAAATGACATACATTAAAATTAAATCCCTAATTTACTTAACTAGCCTTAGCTCCTCCGTGGTCCTCAGCGTCCTTCCTCTGACTCCTCTGGAAAATGAAATATAATTTAACTTAACTATCAGGATGTAACATTACAGTCTGTGTACAGGACACCAGTTTAGCTTGAACCTGATGTTCTCATTCCTCGACAAGTTAGGTAGTAATGACACTCAACTAATTAATATTACGCATTCCTAATTTAGCTAACGTTAACCTTACATTGCAGCCAAAAAATATAACAACGTGCTTTACAGGAGATATGTTAGCTAGCAGTTGCGGAAACAGACTTAACAGACAGACTGTGACTTACACTGCACATGTCCTGTCAGACGGACAACTTACTAAGTAACTTCAATATTTTCCTCCGCTAAATTTAACCGTCACGTTCTACCGCTCGCTCTCTCTCTTTCGCTGGCACACACCGGCACACACACCCGCTTTGCGATTACAGGACACACAGGGAGCCAAACCAGCGATAAGTGTTGCTGCACAGTGTGCCAGTGAAAATCAGCGTTGCAGTCATATTGATGAGCGTGTGAAATATAAGTAGCGTGGTCATTCATTCATTCATCAGCAGCGGTGAAATGCGTCGGATACAGGGGCAACACTGGTCCCAGACCAATAACAGAGATCATGGATCACACCTCCGACTGTCCGGGCGCTGTTTGCATTAAACCGTGATTTATATCTTAAGGACTTATAAATTCTTAATTTTGGGGTTGTTCTTTTTGTCCACTTCTTGATGCTGGTGTTGACGACATAGGAACTACCACCGATGTCCACTTGGCTTTTGGCCATACTAGGAAAAGAAAGTATATGGTTAAATGTAAATTCAGTAGGCGGGCGTCAGCAGGCATCATCACGTGGTCCCGAAACCAGCCAAATGACACGAGTCAATTTTCTTTCCATCGGCGGAAAGTTTGTTTCAAAACTCCGTGTGTGAAGAACTGAGATCGACAAATACAGGCGGGACTCACAAATGCCTGTTTGAAAGTGACAAATACTTTTCAACAATTTGTAAATTAAAACTGGACTCACAAATGCCTATTTGAAAGTTGTAAATGTTAGGAAGATATTCATAGATGTGGTTCATTTATTTGTAAACTATTGAATATATTCACAGATATTTTTATTGTTTGTGGAATTTGTTTTCTATTTGCAAAATATTTTTTTGAGTTTATAAATCTTCATTTTGTTTTATATTTACAGATTATTTACACACAGATCGCTCATCTGTTCACACAAATAATATTGAAACATAAATACCCCCATAGCCAAGATCAAGGTAAATATGATTATGATAACAACATGATAGACTGATGAATTGCTTGTTAGCTAGTACAAGCTAGCAGTAGCAGACAAACCACACTGCTCCCATATGTGATCAGAATGCTACAGCATTGGAAACAGTAAGTAGATGGTTTAGCTATAAGTAATCGTAAATCATACACAATGAATGCCTTTTTCGTGTCATGCAGTCAGTGACAC